GCCTTACTCGATATATTTGATGGACTTCTTCCTCACGGATCACCACTTTTTGAAGAGCCTTCGATAATGGATCACCACTTTTCGAAGAGCCTCGATAATTTCTCCAAGTAAAACTACTTTAATAGACAAGCACATCTGGAAACAGTTCTCAACGACATCGTCGGCTCCGGAGCTTGAGACTTTGATGGAAAACATCGTACTTGCCCCTCATTCGCGGAGATGTACACTCCGCTGGTCTTTATTCCGATTGAGAATGTTTGCGCTAGGCTAAGATAATTGATAGATAATTTCATATGTCGTTCAAAAAATAAGGGTCAAAAACTGACATTAATTCCTGCACAACCTTACAATAAATAATTTCTGCTCTTTCTCGACAGAATGGTAGCAGCCATCACTCATCATCTCGAGATCTAACGGAAGTAGAACTTCTCAGTACTCTGCTGAAACTTTAAAAACATAACAATTTCATTGAAAACGTACCTGGACAAGTAGTAGGATAAACATTTGGCGCTGCAGCGTCAAAAAACTTGTGCAACGTGCAGTGTTTTTAAGAAAGATTTTAACCTTTCTTGCACAATATATATTGATAGTGGCCATAAAAACCAAAACAAGCACCAATTCAATAATCAGCGCAATATGAGAGGCGCCCATGCCGTACTGAAGGACAAAATATATGCGAATATAAGAAGCTTCCGAAATCGTCAACGCAAGAGCCTTATTACTGCTTAATTTTGCTTTTCAAAGGCACTATTCTTTCCTCCACTCGTTATAGATCACTCAATCCTATTTCAAGGGGAAGAAGAACAGTGAGCACACAGGAACCACAATTTTTACGAATTCGTCTGATTGCTGAGTACCCTCGGCATACATAGTCGGTATTATCCAGTCAACCTCCTGTGTCTACCCTATCCCCACGATTTGATCGCTGATCCTCTTCCACGCTATCCCGCCTACAGTCTTCTCCATCAAAGTCGTGATAATATTACAGGATGATGCAATACTCCTGAGACACTAATCGTAAGTTACACGAACGGTCGTTTCTCTGCAAGAACATTTGCCGCCCTCGAGACGTCACCGCAATCTTAGGTTCACCGCTAGTGAAATTCAAATAGACTCCCAAGCGCTTCTATTCTGAACCACTTCGCAAATTTCGAGATCAACTCCGAGCAATCGTCTTTTACCAATGGCGCGGCGTCTCCAATGCACGTTTCGCTGCGTGATGCAACATCAACATTGCTCGAAGAGGAAGTGTGAAGAATAACCTTGTGGCTACCGGCAGAGAACTTGCGAAGCTTCTCGAGTGCGATCAGAACAACGCTATTTGACATTTCTCAAGCACGTTCGCAGGGAATTCGTGTTATGGATTCCGTACCAACTGCCCGACGATCTGCGTCACACGCGTGTCTCAATCAACCAGTCGCTCCTCTTTAGCTCCAATCGGAAGGAGTATCTGCAGGATTTGATGACAGGGGATAAGAAATGGGTCAACTATGACTGCTTCCCTCTTTCTCGGAGGAAGTAACGAAACGCCTACACGTTGGATGAATGTCACAGATAATGACGTATGGTTACGTAATGTGAAAGAAATGCAGTTGTGAATGTAAATGTAAAAGAATTCGAATCATGCAGTGTCTCAAGGCTTTTGCTGAACCCTATAGCTCCTCCAATTTTTCTGCACCTAGCTCCTTTCCTTCGCAGGTCATGAAGGCATAGAACTAGCATAATCCTAGATAGATCGGCTAAGCAGATCGATCATAGATCGGCTAAGCAGATCGGCTATCTCTCAGGGAGTCCCAGGGAGCGATCCCAAAAGGGTTCATCATTCGAAGTAGCTTCTTTGGTCGAGGTTGCTCACTTCTAGGTGGCCCTCGTATACCGTAGAACACCGGGGGTTTTGAACGCTACTAACGTTCTAGCACCAGCACAAAATTTTTTGCGACTTCTGTTATTTTTCGTGAAAGAGCTTTTCATCAACCGCCTGTCAACCTCGGATTGACGCTCGCTTAGCGCATCGGCCGTTCTTTTCCAGTAGTAAGCACGGATATTGGACATCCTAGTTACAATTCCCACGCTTCAACTTGATTCTGCTTCAAAAACAGGCTCCTAGCTCGAATGCGGAGCGAAAACTGCCCTTGAGTATGAATGGTGTTGAGGGCAAGTTCAATTTCTTCACTGAGCACGCCTATATAGTGGCCGTCTGTTCATGATGCGACCTCCACCTGTCGAGTGACTATATGTGAATGATTTTTTGATGACTACATCAAACATGGACAATTAATCACAGAAATAAGCTCACCATAGCGGAAAAACCAAAAAATGTTGCCTCATTCATATGAACTCCAGGAATTTCCACAGTGTTGCTAACAAAGCTAGCAAAATTTTTATCAGGCCAAAACGCTATATAGATAACAGCAGCGGCGTTCAATAAGAAGAACGTGTTGAGGAAGACTCCCACTAACGTAGTCTTCTTTGTTGAAAGTTTGTAGAAAAGTTGTACCCTAAATGTGCACATGTCATGTCCAACATGGTAACGACAACAACACGACTTGTAAATGAAGACAAATTCTATCCCGCAGGGTTGCGAGATGACATGCAAAGCGCAGTTCATGGATAATTTTTCCGAGGCTCTAACAGGAAAGTCGTTTGTTGTCATTACTTGTCTATGGCGATTCAACTTTCTAGATCTCGTGCGACATTGTTAGCTGGAATCTCGGTCAATCACACAGCAGTTAGCAAAAAGAGCCACATAGTCTCTATGAAACAGCTTCGTCTTATGACTATACAGATTTGTGTATTGCTACTCCCTTCAAATGATTTTGAAAGTGTTTCGCTCACTTTTTAGAAACCTGCAATACTCTTCCTTCAGAAACAAAGGAAACGATCCTCAACTTGTAACTCACCCAACAACAGCTCAATTTAGTTTTTGTAGCTAGCTGTTATCTCGAAAGTTCTAACATGAGTTGCCAGACATTTTTACAGTTCTTCTCAACTAGCTGCCAAGCCCAATCGTAGCTGTGAAATATTATTTAGAGTTCAACATATGAATCCCTCACTTGCACACTTGCAAATAGCGATATATGAAACTGTCTGTGACTAGGACAGTTGAGACAAAGAATGTCATACAGAAGATAAGATGCAAAACAAATGAGCATGGCTGCTGATTCACTATTCCAGTAGACAAGAATATAGCATAGGAATGCTGTACGACGACGCGCTGAAAGATCTACATTCTTACTTTGCCATACTTGACATGATAGTGAATACAAAAGTAAGTTTCTAACTGGAGTAAGGCAAATAAAGTTCACTGGGAGCTCCAGAGACCTGAAAAATTGCTCCTCTACTCTTCCCCCATCCTTGCAAAGAGTTACTACCAATCCATCAAGTTGTTGAGGCTTCCGCATTAACGAAGTCCACTCATTTTAAGTCGGTGGTGACAGATGTTTCAGCTCCTTTCAAATTTGTTTCATGATTTTTTTATGAAACTTCTGCTATGGAAGTTTCGATTGCCGAGATCACGTGGCACTCATTTTTGACGTAGCCGACTTGGTGAAGTCGCATCGATACATCTCTTTTCACTCAATTCGTTCAATACTTCTATGTAGCGTCTTTTTCAAAAATTCGCTATTTGTATCGGCGCTAGCGCCAAGTAGCGATGATTGCGAGATCAAGTATCGATAATTCCTCAAACTTAGCGAAACGACAAGAATGGACCGCAACGATAGCGTGTATACAACATCCAGCTACCACCACCAAGGTAGCAGGTTGGAGTTTGGTCTATGCAAAGGAACCCATAGGAAACAATAAAGACTGTAGTTCCTGCTGCATCTAGAAGGGTAGGTGGTGGACCACGATCAACCGCAATAGCTGGTTATTGTTACGTTTTGCAACAGGCAAGAATTGGCCTGCGTCTGTTCACAGGTTGCAGTTCGCAAAAAACGCATTGGCGGGAAACATTTGCTAGTTCTTCGCAATCAAATTGAATATAAGTAGTGATTTTGGACTTACTCGCATGTGGCGAGAATAGGAGCACGTAATGCGATCAGGAGTTCATCGTTCAACATGATTGTTTTGATAGTCCATTCGATATGGTGTGGGAGGCATAAAGTTGCAAGGGCGTACCAACCTCCCAACTCCTGATCGCGGAATGCTTTCTGATCGACGTTATTGTGACGCTGTACTCCTCACTTATGTGCATCTTTGTGCCTTTGACCTCAACTTCAACCGTATGGAGGACAAGGTGCGAGAGCATCGAGCAGCCTAGGTGGAAACTCTTGGAAGCGAGGATTTCGGCGATTGGTGAAGCCTATCCGCTTCTCCAGTCAAATCCTATGGAGCACGTGTGGACGTGCATTCAGAGGAGCTATTGTAGCGCATTCCCATGCGCCAACAACTGTCCAACAGTTGTCAAAGCGGTCTTCAAGGATGCTTCAGACAGGGTAGTCGAAGAAACTGTTTTTTTTCTGATTGTCCCGTTGAGCTTTTCTGTCAATAACCCTCGGCACTGTACCGCAACATCTACTTCTATGTATGTGCCAAATTTGATCGACCTAGGTTAGCTAGTAACGAGATGAAGCTTGGATCGAGTTTTTGCAACACCGCAACTCAGAAGTCACGAATCCAGCCTAATTTATCGGCTTAAGGTTATTTTCACAAGTCTTCTCCAGCTTTTCTCCAGCAAATGAAAAGCTTCAAATCCGCTTACCGGTAAATCCAGTGCAAACGAAGCAGAGTATAGGGCACCTTCTACGACAGTGAGTAGAAAAAAGTATCTGTACGACTTTATCTTTTTCAGAGGACAGCGAATGAATACGTAAAAGAGGAGTGCATTATTCAATAGGGAAATAGCTGTGATGGCGTAAACTGTCAATGGAAGGATATCGTTGTATAGATTTGGCCCGAACATGAGCAAGTGAAGAAGATTCACAAATGCTACTGTGCTGATAATAAGGCACTGACTAGGAGTAAAGATATGTTCCACCATTGATCAGAATCGTGCTCAGCGCTAACAAATAGGGAGGTTTACGTCACTAATTACACGTTTACGACTTGTTTTGGTTTTGTAACTAGGCAATAATTTTGAAATTCAATTTGTATTTTCTCCGAAATGTAAAAATGCTGCATACATATTACAACAAGGTATTCTGACACAGAGAGAAAGTGCAAATGAATTCAATGAGACTCTTGCAGCAGTGGGTGGCCACTATTTTAGGTTACATGCTGTGATGACCAAACTCTAAAATGACTGCTTCATAGTTCCGCTCGGTGGCGGTCGGTGCGGGACGGCGGCGTCGGCGCGACGCAACCGTACGCGCACGGACAGGTGTCAAAAGCGTCAATACGCGCTCTGGCGCATGACGCGTACGTTGGGCGCAGATCGCGCGCTCCAATCGATAATCTTGGTTTTGGTGAAATTTCTTGTCTTGTTCGGTGTTTTTTTGGGCAGACTCCCTTCTATTCGTGTGTTTTCTGCTCTTGATTAGTACTTTTCAGTTGTTCCGCAGACGAATGATGTCCTGCAACCCCGTGTGAACGTGGCTTCAAAACCCGGTCAGTCAGTCATCACGTACAGTTTTGTTTATTCGAGTGAAGTGTATATTTTCAGTAGCCGCTTTTTCTTCGATACGATTTCCTGCTGGTGTGCGAATAATTAAGTTAGCAAGATCCGGCGGCTTTTCGCACACGAGCAGGAAATCGTACCGAAGAAAAGCAACTTCTAATGACATAGATTTCACTCGAATAAACAACAATTGCTTATGTTGAACTCACCCGGTATAGCCACCTTCACCTGGGGTTGTACGACGGGGTTCTACGAAGTCGCTCGTCCGCGGCAAGTGAAAAGTATAATCAACACATAAAAGAATAAGTATGAACAGAAAACACACAGCACACCGCGCAAAAAAATCGAAAAGACATAGAATCTCCAAAATCAGGATCTATCGTCGCGGGCGCGATCTCCCCAAGCGTAAGCCCTGCGCATGTGCGCAGTATTGTGACGCTCTTGCACTGCGTGCGGTCGTACCCTGCGGTCCGCCGTCGGCAACCGACCGACTACGAATGCGACTAATAAAGGAGGGCTACAAGAATTGTCTGATGAGCTTGGCGAACAATAAGCTCTACAGATCAATGAGTGGCAGTCCATGAATAGTATTTGATAACTAATGCACATTTGGAATTCGTTGGTGTCATCGACTGGAATCGTTGAGCATATTGCTTGAACAGATCCGGGTCAAGTGCTTTTTTACTGATATCTGCGACATGACGTGCGACTTGGCTCGTGCTTCACGCCGTTTGTCACTGCCGCTACATATAGCTTTATATTCAGTTTGGGTAGTTGTGTGCGCGGAAACGACGTGGCATCACCCATCCTGATAGAACTGCCGTGAATTAGGCTATTACAGCATTCTCGCCCGCTTGCGGAAAGGTCATGCTGGACATCATCTTATCGCGCATTCTATCTCTAATCGAGTGCGGCATGCGTAGTACTTCCTTTCCTTATGACAACGCCCACCCCAACTTTCGGATCTGGACTGTATTTTCCGTGAGTCGGTCGATGATTATGCTGCATTGGCTGTATTTGCGAAATGTTGTTATTGATGCACTTCGGACTAACCATGGTGAATTTATGATTTGTTCTCAAAATTTCCCAATCGCTTTTCCCTTGCTCAATAAAGGCTACAAGTTTGTTGAGAAATTCAGTTCCAAGTTCTGGATCAATCCTGTTTCCACGTTCCAGATAATGACCTTTCCAATTGATATATAGTAAATATGTTTTGTGAAGAACATAAAAGCACTGTTTCTAAGCGCTCCTGAACGTTGCTTCAAATGTGTTTGAAAAATATCCAATGTGTTGAAAGCGAGACGAAAACGACAAAAAATGAACTAAATTCCGTCGGCTTTAGTTGCGAAAACATTTCTCTGGATTGTGAGGCACGTAATCCACGCCTGAACAGTGTCACTGCGCCACACAGTGATGGTTGTCCGCCCGCCGAATAGTGGTGTTCCGCTGAAACCCTAGCATGGGCGAGAACATTTGCGAGGTGCCGAAACATCGGAAATGAAGCAGCAATTAGGGCGATCACGAACTTTTCTAATTAAGGCCAAATTGAGGTTGAGTAGATGTTCTAAACTTACCCGCATATGACAAGATGTCGGAGCAGGTAATACTCCCAGAACCGTTGTCATGGTTGTTTTGATAGTCTAGTTTAGGATATGAGGTAGAGACATAGAGCTCATGGGCATCAATGGGTTTCCGGACTTTGTGTGAAATAGCACAGAATGTGTGTTAAATGGCAAAAGAATCCAACACCACGACAAAATGCAATGTTTCTTTCCGCTTACTTTTGTAAAAGGATCTTTCTGTATTGTAATGCATTTTCACTTATGTTAGACCAGTTTTGCTCCGCCCGCTGTCGCGCGCATCACACAGTAGGCTTCAGCGGTTGGAACCTGTAGAACATCTGCTGATCTATTCCACGAAGCACCTCACTATTATTGGATGTGTTAGACCTGACAATAAGATCCGCAGACTCTCCAGTTTTATTGAAGTCCACTGGTACACAGCTCGATTTGCTAGCGTAACGCTCCTACCCTGCTAATCCGTCGATATGACCGTTGTCAGACTCTGGGATTCGCACAGTCTGACATCGGCCATATCGACGGACTGGCAAAAAGCGAGAGGCAGTGAGCTTTGTGGAAAGGACAGAAGGTTAAACGAGGGGTTAGCGCAACACGATTTGAGTCCCCTTCCTCTGTTCGCTCTTCCACTGCAGAGTTCAAGTATAAAGAAAAGTTGAGCAGCTCGGAATACGGACAATTATGTGTTCAGGCAGAGTTGGAGACAAGCCGGTTTTTGCAGTTCGATAAGTGACCGCATTGCCACTGTTGGTCACTCGGCGCTACATTTGGCCTGATAGGAAGTCAGGAAATCAAAAGCAAGAACGGAAAGGCTACCCCGGAAGAAAGAAGCTACCTGTGGACAACATATACAATACTCTGAGCTATACGTGCTTTATTGATGTAACATATCATATCTCATACATATGTAAATATAGTATATATATCACCTAACCAGGAAGGTCTTTCAGGGCGTGACAAGCTTTTTGAAAACGGTCTTTTGCATGATATAGGGGCAGATGCGGGACCACAGAAGCATGTTCGTGTGTGCTATCACAAAGTTATTACG